CTGCGTAGCAAGAAATCTCCAAGTTCCAATAATCCAAACACAAGGATCCCTTCTCCTGCTTCAGACACATCTCACCAGCACCTGATCACCGGTAAACACCTTCCTGTGCTGATGTAAATAATCATCACGATAAAACCCAGGCAAATGCTTGTTTTCCTTCTCAACCTCAGTTTGATTTTCCTTTGTTTCCTCAGCACACTGGAATTTATTCAAGGCCAGTACCTGCCTTCATTTTACAACTCTATTTTTGCAGAAGCTCCTGGAGAAGCTACTTCAGTTGTGTTAAAATTCAGCAATCTGAGCATAATGCAAGTATTATTCAAAACAGGACATTTTAGGGGCATTACATACACAATGCAATTAAATTAACACAAAAATCATCTTGCTTTTCTGAAAATCTGAAAGCTACCAAGAAACATACCCAATAACAACACAGATGAAAAAGAATTAGCCCTGATTCAAGGTATATTTTCCAGAGAGATCCAAACTTGCTCCACCTGTACCAGGAGAAGTTCTGTGGATGATATTCAGCCCAAGCTAATAATCATTACAAAAAACAAGGATTATTTCAGGCTCCACATTGAAATTGGTACATCTTGGTGTAGTTCACAGGTAAATTGGGGCAGAAATAGCTAAGTTTTGTAACAGCAGAAAATTATGTTTACTAGGTTTTCTTCTCCCCATCCTGTTCACCTCACCTTCCCCCCCACCCCCGACAACTAATTGCTACTTCTGATAATTGGCAAGATGACACAAATGAAAACTAAAATAAATTAAAAGAAATAATAATGCCACGTCACTATTACTGGCAGGCTGACTTCACACGTTTTTTGTTTAGTTGAGACTACTGTTCAGCACTCTGCACATGTAAGCACACCACAGGCTTGGCTGCAAGAGAGCGAGGATTTGAAATACATAACAGAAAAAACACGATGACTGCTTCAGAATTTACCAACTCCGCTGATTTTCTACGCAATTGCACAATTTACGTTCCCTAATAGGACCTGCTCCTTACACAGGACACATTCAGAGGAGTGTTTGTAAAATCAGGGCTCGCAAGTGGTGTTATAAATCCCCTCTTAACCTTTTGTTTTTCAATTTCCTTTGCTTATACTTGAGTAAGAAATTTATGTCATAGTAAGAATTGGAAAAAAAAAAAAACCCAAACATTTACCATGGGCTTAGTAATATGTCATAGTTATGAAAAACTTTTTTAGGTAACAGAACACTGAAATTCAGCCCACTGTGAGACAGAGTAGGACCATCTTTCCTCATCCAAATTACTTTCCGTAAGTCATAAACCACTGTCAAAAGAAAACTTCAGTGCCCATATTGACCAAAATTATTTAAAACAGGTATATTACTACAATTATCGCCTTTTTTTGTCCTGCCAATTAGATCAGTTTTATGTAAGAAACTTGGATTTTCAGCTTGACTGCTTTATTACCATCATGAATATTTCTGCCACACAGACGTCACTACTTAAGGCATTTCCAAACTTACATTTGGGAAGAAGCACAACACAAGGACATTTAAATTCCTTCCAGAGCTCCAAGAAGTTCATGAAAATTCCTAAATCAGGACTGACTGGAAGTGTTAAATCCCCAGGTCAGGAATCTACGGAAGGATGAAATCTCTGACCTTGGTAAGGGTAAAACTCAGCACAAACAACTCCCATTTCCAGCCTCGCTGTTAGACAACAACGCTACGTCTGCTGGCTGAGGTGCAGCATCCTGAGGGACTGGAAAAGGACAGGGGATTTTTCACTGCATTTGCGTGAAATCCAAAGCCGAAAGAAAAATATTGTTTATGCTGAAATTCACGACAAAGCGTTGCAGCTCCATTAATTCCATCTCCAGCCATTTAGAAAACCACGAGTCAGGATCCAAAATTATCATCAAACTGACTTGAAAGAACTGCTGGAGAGAGGTTGCTTTTTTTAAAAAAAAAAAACTCTGAATTTCAGCATTCCTGTTTGCAAGTGCTCTAACCCTTTATGTGTCAGTATTTTCAAGCTCTTATTCTGGTGCTACCAATAATTCCACGAGCAAAATGTTTACGGAAAAACACTGTGCAAATATGGCATGAACTACAGACAGTCATGCTATACATGAGGTCAAAAAAACATGACCCTGTGTTTTTATTTATAAATACAAAAGAAATATAGTAAACATGTGATTACAGCAATTAAAATCTAGCTTGGATTAAAGAAATCCTCTTAATTTTAACAATGTAACAGACTAATACAGCATAAACAAACACATTTTTAAAGTAAGATCACAATTTCCCTTTTTATTAAAACTGAAGAAAGGTTTTACTACTTCCTACTGCGAAACCAATACAAACACTAATTTAAATATTTCCTTTTCAGCCGAATTTTGAATACTTAAGAAGACTAAAACAGCTGCCTTTTTGCCACTGAAACTGACATGGCATGAGACCCTAATATGACACTTTTTGAGTACTTTAGAGAAAAATGGGGATTGTTTATATAAAAAGTGGAGAGAACTGGCACATCACCTATTTTTCATAGCATTTTTTTTTCATATACATTGTATTTGTCACCAAAACAGCTCAGTGGAACACAGTGTGCAGCACACATTGTGCCTTGTCATGAGTTGACAGCAAATGAAGAGAAGGTGAACCAAGTTGCAAAACAAAAGTATTTTTTTTCCCCCTTCTCGCCGCCTGAGAAGATAAATGATCTTAGTTATATTAAAGACAAATGGGATATGGGATCCAAAGGGCTCGTTTTACGTTAACTGCATCTCACCAACAAAAATAGAGAAAGCAATTTCCTGGTGCATCAATTCCAAGCCAGCACTTCCATGTACACTCTGAATTCCGAGGCACTGGCACACCGTGCACCTCCGGGTATCCTCACATCTCCAGCACGTCAACTGCTCCCCAGCAATTTCCTCTATTAAGGGAGGGCTCTTCCCCCCCCAAAAAAATACAAAGGTAAGGTGGATATGCCAGTACAAACCACCACGGCTGAATAAACATCTTCCTGTAGGTAACGCCGTGTCAAATTACTCCTGTAACCAACACAAAGCACCAGCTCTCTCTCATATGACGTGTGTCACCACCCCAGTTCTTTCACCACTACAGTGCCCCTCACTCCTTTCTGTAATTTCTTGTTATTTTAAGGCCAGATCTCTTTCCTCACCCACAGCGGTCAGTATCTGGAAGTTCTCATCACTTCGGATTGCAAAGAATTGTACCAAAAAAGTCAAGATGGAAGAGAAGCTGAAGAACGTGAAGTATCATAAAGTATTTCTCATCCATTTACCGGACTAGACCAGCATAAAACTGCAAACCTCATCTTTCCATCCTCCTTCTCATGTTCTGTATTTATAGGGTATTAAAATCCTCCTCCTCCTAAGCAAAGACTTGTTTCTAGTGCAACACCAAAGCAGTTTTAAATATCTGCGTACAGTCCTCAGCATTATAAAACCCTCTCTTCCTCTTCTCGACCCAGTCTCGTTGATCTGCTGTTATTTAACTCTTGAAGGCTACTTGAGACTCACCACGTTACTAAAGGTTATGTAACTCTTAAAAATACACTAAATTTTACATTTTTAAGCTCTACAATAGAAACATACACAACAAAACACAGTTGAGAGGTTTTTTCTCACCCCTCCTCCACTTATTCTAAACCAAAACATCTCAGGGATCTAGAATAGTGGATTTTTTTTATTTTTTTTTTTACCAGCTTGTCGGCCACAAAACCTTTAGCAGTGCAGAAAACAGTATAATGAACATAAGCCTACAGAAAACACGATGTCCTTTCCTCTGTGGCTTCCCACTAACCCGGCCTGAGTTGTCCACTGCCTGCAAAGCTGAAAGCTGCTGATCTAGAACCGAGTATCCTCTTACTGGTTGCTCTGCCACCCGAGAAGTTGCATTAAAATGGCATCACGTTCCTTAACTCCAAACTGACTCGCCTTTCTCCACGTAACCTATTAACAACCCGTCCTCCAGAGCGTCTCATAAAACCCTACTCCCAGGAACAACCACCCAAACCAAAACACCATCGTTTAAGACGTCTCGTTTTCCACGGATTTGAACGTGGAACAAGTCTTGCACACAGAACACTGCCCAACCCACCTATAAATAGGCTCAAAGCTCCAGGCTCAGGAGACTGAGAGCTCCACATGATCCTTGCAGCGTTCCCCGGCTTCACCTACATAAGAGCCGTGCCATAACACTGCCGGGCTGGGCAGACACCGAGCTGCTGCTGTGGCTTACGCAGGAGAGCACGGAGGGAGGGGAAAGAAATAAAAAAAAAAAAAATCGAGGAAAAAAAAAAAAAAATCACTGGGCATAAACAGCTCTTCTCGGGAGAGAAACACCTCCCTCTCCGGAGGCCAGAGCCAGCCACGGACAGGCTGTCACAGCTCGGCCATGACAGGAACAACAGCCAGGGACAGGCCCGTCAGAGAAGGTTTAATGGGGCCAGGGCCGAATGGACGCTCATGGTGAGCAAGGGCCTGGGGGCAATGGCAAGCGAGTCCTGGCCACATTCCCTGGACAGGGGGGATTCAGGCTTGGGTAGGCAGCCAGAGCCAAACCCAGTCAGACTCCTTTGGAAAGGGGCCTTCAGGTTCCTCCCAAGCTGGCAGCCAGTTCTGTTCCCTATCAGACCCCAATGACAGGGCAGCTCCAGACCCCCCTGTTCCCAGTCACTTGCTCTGGACAGGAGGGCTCCAGGCCCCAGAGTGTCACCCCATCAGATCCTATAGGCAGGACACCTCCAAGTCCCCAGCAGATCCCCCCACTCCCAGACAGGAGAGCTCCAGACCCCCATGGAACCCATCAGATCCCCAAGGACAGGAAAGCTGCAGACCCCATGGTCCCCATCAGAGCCCATGGTCCCTATTAGAGCCCCACAGTCCCTGTTAGAGCCCCAAGGACAGGAAAGCTCCAGACCCCAGGGTCCCCGTGAGACCCCCCTAGCCCCGGGGCCACGTGACCGGCCCGANGACACCGCGCTCCCGGCGCGCCGAGACAGGTGCAACCGGGGCGGGCGGGTCGGGGGGCACCGCCGCCTCCCCGGGCTCCCCCACTGCTTCCCTCCGTCCCTCCCCACGATGTTGTTTCGTTATATCATGTCCATCATGTGACACCCGGAGGCCTCTCTATGGAAACTTAAAGGGGACTTTCACGTCCGCCGCCGCCGGACCTGCCGGTACCCCCGTGGGGCTGCGAGCCCTGCCGGTGCCCGCCTGCCCTCCCTCCGCTACCTCCCTTCCCGGGGGGCTGCGCTCCGTGGTCCTACCGCCCTTTGCTTAAAGCAAGTTGCTGCGCTTCCTTCTTCTATTATTATTTATTAGGGGTTGGTTTGGTGTTTGTGTTTTAGGTTGTTTTGGTCTTTTTTTGCTTTTTCCCCTTCTCTTTTCGCAGAAAGGAATAGCCGGGGAATAAACGGCCGGGCAGGCACCGTGCGGAAGGATGGACCCCGCTCCTGGAGGCTGCGGGATCCGGTGCTCGTCTGCGGCCGCGGCGAGTCGGGTGCTGGAAGCGGCAGAAAAAACAAAAAATCCAAATCAACCAAAAGAAAAAAAAACCAAAATAAATAAGGCGGAAAAACCTCGTTTGTGTCGGAGGGAAGAGGAGCAGATGTGAGCAGTTCTGCCCGTGCGGGGTCGATGCGGTGGTCGCTACCGCCGCGTTTAACTCTGCCAGTCGGTAGCGAAACGATTTCGCCGTCGCGACCCGTCGCACCGCCGGCTCCCGACAGCCGGCTCTGTGCCGAGCTGTTGGAAGAAGCCGCTCCTAGGGATGTGCGCTGGCCACTGCAACACTACCAGCAAGCAGCTAGCCCTCACAGAAAGAAAAGGAGAAGATGCCGACAATTACCCGTGGTTCGGACAGCCCCCGCTTCCCCGCGCATCCCGCTGCCCGGCCGCAGCCGCCGGGGGTTCGGGGCCGGCCGGCGGCAGCGCCGCGCTCCTCCGGCTGCTGTTCCGCCTTCGGTGCTGAAGTGGGTTTTATTCCCTGCTCTCCACCAGCCCCCAGGATTTGGGTTCAGGGAGCTGAAGCCCACCCGTTCCACGGTCCCACCACCGGGCTGACAACGCGCAGGGGGCTCTGGGGGTTTTCCCCATGGAAGGTTCCTGCAGGAGGCCTCCAAATTCTGTTCCTTAACTGGTGGCATCGGTGTTGGTAACCAAATGCAAGGCTTTAGGGGCTAGACTGAAAAGAAGGAGATAGATTTGTTGTTTAAAACTAAAGGAGGAAAAGCAATCCCGCATTCACTCCTTCCTTACAGCCTCCAGCAGCCCCTCAACAGATTAAAAAAGCATGATCCACAAATGCAGTAAATTTTAAGTTGGGGATTTAATTTTTTTTATGTCTCACCACGTTTTCTTTAAGGAAGTCATATAAACGACTTTTTTCCAGCTGCTGGGTTGGTGATGATGGCTGTCAGCCACTGGAGGGGACTGGAGCCACCCGGCCACTCGGCACAGGCCCAATTCTGCAGGGACAGTGGATCATCTCCCTTAGCTCTCCCATTTGTGCTTTGGACTTGAAATATCTGTTCTTTGCCCCACTCATTTCCAGGTGCCCATGCAAAGGGTTGTGTATCTAACAGATCAGTGTTTCAGATATCTCTACTATTATTTTTAAATTATTTTTAATTTTTTTTAAAATTTTTTTTTTTTTTAGTTTTGTAAAAATTACTAATGATTTCAGCTGAAAAGAGTTAATAGACTGAGGAGCAGTTCATCCTTCTTTCCTTACTTCTTCTCGGAGTCTTCCTTCTATCCACCCTACACACTGTTTATGTTTATCTCACCCATCCAGTTTTGGGGGAATTTCCTCTCTGGGCACCTTTCTGCCATTTATCCAGGCTGTCCCACTGCTGTGGAGCCTTAAGTACAATTTGCCTTTCTTCCCGTATCTCCGGGCCTCCTTTCCCTGCCTCACTAAGCCTCTTTTTATTCCGTATTCCCTTCTTCAGATCATCCTTAAAGGAGGAAGAGGCTGGAGCTGGGATTTAAAGTAGTCTTTTAGGAGTACTGCCAGAACTGATCTGTTTTACTCTGCTGCTGCTGCTGTTGCTGTTCTGCTGTGTCATGGGAAGAGTTTCCTCTCCACACCAACCCTTGGAAGCGGCACCTCGGGCAGAGCCGCTCGCTGCAAACCGTGGCCGTGTTTTACAAAGCCCTAGGTAAGTTTGTCTGGTGCAGGCTTGAGCCTGGAAGGAGAATGCCTTCCTGTGCTCTGACCTGGAGGGCTGTGCACGATTTTGGGAGATTTGCAGGAGGCAGAGTGGCGGCAGCAGCAGTGACAGCGCATCATCGCTCAGCTTTATTTCATTTTCTCAAGCCAAGATGCTCTAGGTTACAGCCCAGCAGAAAAGGAAAATGAAGCATTTCTGTCAAAAGGCAGCTATTTCCCAAATTTGCTTTAAATTATTGCAAGATCTTGCACTAAAAAAGAGCAGAGATTCTGTCTCCTCTTAAAAAATGTTGTTAGTTATAAAATCTTTATGATCTTGGCTCTCTCCTCCTCAGCCTGTCTCCTTCAAAAACTTACTTTCAAAAATGTGAGGTTTAAAGATGACTCTTCTCTCTCTCTCCATCCCCCCTCCCAAATTTATATTCCTTGGAAAGGCCTGAAGAAGCCTGAGGCTGTGTCTGCCCATGAATAAACACCGGCGTGTACATACACGTGCATATCCACGCACACTCACAGGGTTTAAAGCATCCCATTGAAGTCCACATATAGGAAAATCCTTCATCATGTGATAGGCTTTAATATCTGCCTTAATATTAATCCCTAACTGATGCACTCTGTCTTCATATGGTGGCAGATCACAGGAGGCTCAGTAGCTGGGGCTCCTGTGCAAGTTTTTTAAAACTGCCAGATAAAATCCCCTGTTTGCCTTTGGATTAATTTGTTTTTTCATAGCAGCTACCTGGGAAATGTTCATCTAATGAAACCAAGTAAGAAAACTTTATAGGGCTCTGATCTTGTTTTTCCACAGTTAAAAAGAAAGACCTTGTCATGAGGTCAGGACAAGATCTGATGTTATTACACAAGGAAATGGCTAAAGGACCCTGCAGAGTTGTTCAGGTGCTCGGTTGGTGATAACGCTCCTAGATTTTATTGTAGCTTGAGTTTTGGAGATGGTCCTGCTTAATTGTCAGAGTTGTCTTTGCTTCTTTTGATCCATTTTTGTTGTTGACACTGAATTTTCTTGTTTCACTTCTCTTTAGAATTAATTTCGCTTTTTAGTTCCCATGTGTTAAAAAGTGCAGTTTCATTTAGACTCTCAAGAGAAAAAAATCTGATTCCAGACAGCAATTTGCAGCAATATATTTTCCTTGCCACTCACAGAAAAACATCACTACTCCAACAGATCTGGGTATAAACAATGCTGACAGGCCCTCAAAACCAAAATCAAATTGTGAAATTGAGGCAAATAGCCCAGAGAACCTGAAACGTTCTGGTTTCTGAAATGCTGGCTGCTATCAAAAATAGGATAGAATAAAGCTTTATTTACGTGTAAAGCAGAGTGTTTGTTGATCAAGTTTCTAAGGTGATGTAGCAGGAAATACTGTTCTTGAGGAAAATGACATGAACAAAGCATGAAACTATAATTCAGCAGCTATTTGTCAACTGATAGCAGAAGAAAAAACGTGTATTTATAAAGCAGTGAGAGGTTTTCATTGAACTTTTTCCTCTCCTTTGCTGGCATCTATGAAGGCAGCTTCTCACCTGCTCTGCTCCTGGATATAACTACTTGCAAGAGCAGAGCTAAATCATTTATCAGAAGGAATGTTTCTATCAAATCCAAATATCTATACTGGCTGCTGTTTTTATGTCACGTCACAGATGAGATTGATGCTCAAGCAAGGTTATAATGTACCTGCATTTTCTCCAGATTGGTGCCAAGCTTGCTGAGTCATTTTCCCTGTTCCCATTCTGCAGCCGGCTGCTCGCTCGCTATTCCCTGTTATTTGTGTGGGTCGTAAGCTCAGCAACAGATGAGAATAAATGCTAATATTTCTTTAGGCTGCCTCCCTAAGGAAATAAAGGTTCTGCTGCGCTGCTTTTCTGTGCAGGTATGTGTCCATCCTCCTCTCCCAAAAGCTTCTGAACCCATTAATGAATTCCAAATGAATTTGGGAGGAAGCAGATACTTCAAACTCAGTTATATTCCTGCAAGGTGCACACGGGCAGGAGGGAGAGACTCAGATCAGGAATTGAAGCAGAACTCGGCCCTAACGCCTCCGGATTGGCATCCACCTTCAAGCCACCAACCCACCCGTGGCAGGCAATTAATCTCTGTGTAGTGACTCTGAGCCACAGCGCTGCCTGATCCTGCCTAGTACAGTTTTGTCTGGCTGGCAAGAGATATAATGGAGAAGCAGAGGAACGGGGCTAACTCAAGGAAGGAGCTGTTTTCGAGGCAAAATAACAGGGAAATTTAAAGAATATAACTATAAGCAACAGAAAAGTTAATACCTGGGAATGGCTGTACATTGTTTGGGGGAACGATTTAGCTTTTGTGTCAGTCCCGAAACAAACCATGGCAGAGGAGCAGGTCAGGCTGTTCCTAAAGCCCGCACAGCTGCCACGCTGGTGCCATTTTGCTCTTGGCACTAAAGCTAAAGGCCAAGATCCCCCACCCGCACATCTTCCAGACATGGATGCGTTTCCTCTGCAATGCCAGCATCAGGTGAAGAGCTGACTCAGCCACAGGCTACTGCATCTGACAGCCTCACTCTCCCACCCTCCTTTCTGGCATAGCCTGGCTGTAGCTGAGACTCAGAATTGGTTTATGTTTGAGAAGAGCCAAGCCTGGGGTGTCTCCTCATGGATGGTGCTGGGTCTCTACCTTGGCTGGAGCTTTCCTGGCTGCCTAATGGAGATGGGAGAGCTCCAGCCCTTCATGTTCACCTCAGGGAATGCTGGTCAGGTCAGGACTGCAGACAGGATCAGATCCATTCTCACCTGAGAGCAAAGAATTAATTTATGTGTCCTTTCTCCACCAGCTGCACCTTTCTGGGAGCAGCCACTGGAGGGGGGACACCCTGATGCTGCACGTACCATACGCGCTCATCTCCATTGCAATTAGTTTGATGCAACAAACAGCTCCAGCGTGACAAACTCCAGGCTAAAAAAAGCCAGGACTTCATCTGCATAAATTGGATGCACAAAGTATGTATTGTGTGTCACCTCCCTTATGTCCCACATTTGTTCCTGCAGCAAATGGCATATGCTCCAGCAGTACCACGTGGTCTGAACGGACTCCTGGAAATACAGTAGGGATCTGATGCTGGTAGTCTTCGAAATTAAGACATTAATTGTCATCCTGCTTATGGACCTCTTCTGGAAGGAAGGTTTTTGCATATAAATTAAGATTCATTGTCCTCTGATGAATAATCTATGAAACTGGAGTCACCCTCTCCATCGATGAGCAAGTGATTATTTCTGGTTTAGCTGTTAGACACCAGCTGGGACCAGAGGCCTCGTTCTCCTGGCCACTGTGTAGTCACACCCAAGAAGATAACCTCTGCCTTCAAGAGCTTACAAAGCAGAACAACAAAAGAGGGAGCAGTATAACACTCAGGCAGAGCAAACACAGTGACCTTTTGCAAATGTCAAGTTAATACCATGATCTGGAAGTGGAAGGGGCTCATCAGAGGGTGGGTGGGTCAACGAAGACGGGACACACTTCAGAGCGGGGGGATGAGATGAAGGAAAAGCCACAGCAGAAGCTGCATGGTGTGAGATGCAGAAGGAAGTGCATGCAGAGCATTCTGTGGTCAATTGGCACAACCAGGATAAAAAACAGGGGAAGGAATCTGATGACCCCAGCCACAGCTCACAGAATAACTAGCTCCCCAAAGTCTCACAGCCTGGAGAAGGGAGCTAGAGAGAGCAGGGGTGGACAGAGCAGTTCCTCCTAAGTGCTGGTTCTGCTCTGGCGGCTGGAGGTGTGATAACCCTGTTTTGGGGCTGTTGCTCTCCGTGGCTCAGCCTCCTGCAGCTGTGTTTGCTGCAGCTGAGCCTCAGGGCTGGAGTGAGATGTAGTTGAGCTCTAAGCTGCTCCAAGTCCAGGGCAGCACATAATTGAATATTAACAGGAGCAGCTCTAGGAGCTGCTGGGACTCAGGAAGTCACAATTCCTTCTCTGCTGCTCCTTCGCCTTCGTGGGAGGTGATTGCTGGAGGCCTTAATGGATGTGAGACATAATACGCTTCCCTCACATTAGCCCCAGTTAGCAACCTGAGGCTTTAACCACATCCTACCCTCTCTGATCATTTCCTCATGCACCTCTTGAGCAACATGAGAAGTGCAGTAGCTGCAGCCAGCCCAGCGACCAAGCAGAGAGGTGCAGAGACTGTATGAACATTGATTTCACACCTCATCTCCCCAGTGAACAAAGGGGTCCCACCTTTAACGAGCATCAAAATTTACTAAATATACATTATTGAATTCCTGGTCTCTGTATCGTCCTCCTGCAAACAGGAATTATTTAGCTGCTGGGTGGGGATGCCATGAGCATCATACAAGATCCACAAAGTGATATTTAAGTTGAAAATCTTTGGTACCATGCTTTTGTTAAATATTCAAGGTAAGATACAGCAGCAAGTTCATAGGCACTAGGGTCTCTCCATGCTGCCTGACCAGCTGAACTGACTAGTTGCCCTGTCTAAAAATATGGATGGATATCTTTCCCTCCTCAAATTCATGCTTCACTGAGAAGTTCAGTCTGTAGTCATGCTACTTTTATGGAGGAAGCAAAGTGCTTTACAAGAAAAGAGATGTCCACAGAAACCCATCCCTGCCATCTGATCATTCAGAACTTGGTGTTAGTCTAAGAAGGAGGAAGGCAACATGTTCAGAGTACCAGAAAATTCCCTAAGACCCTGAGGGACGTGCTTAACATCAATCAAAGTCCAGAGTTCCTCCTCTTGTCTTTTAAGTCTCTTTTCCCTTTTTTTTTTCTCTCTTTTTTCTCACTTTAAAATTCACAATATCCTTGACTTATCATTTTCCTTCAAGTCCACCAGTACTTGTTTATTACATAATTGCTTTCTTTTTCAAAAAACATGCTCCTCTATCTCCTTTTTTTCATTAGTTGAAGTACAATGGACTCTACCATGAGACTGCTCCTGGTTTTGTTTGATTTCTCTTTTCCTTTATCACTACCCAGAGACATCCAGCAGATTGTTTCATAATCTTCCTAGAGTTCAGAGAAAGTATATTTCTTCCAGATAGGAATATAGCCTGCAAACGTCCTCCTCCTTTTTCCTCACCACCTGCTCCTCTTGAACAACACTTCTGGCAAACTTTATCCATGTATTATTCCTTTATTCACAAATTAGATGTTCCTTTTTAGGCAAAAGTGAGGAACACACTGTTTCCCTGGCATGCAATGTGTGTTTTTGCATGGCTTCTTTGCTCTCCAGCATGCTCCTGAATTTTTGGAGCCCTCAGGAGCAAGGACCTCATCACCAAATTCAGCCCCAGCAGCCACATGCTGTCTGTGGGAGGTCTGCAGAAAAGGAGGCTCTTCATTCTGCTTGTGGTGCATTAGGGAAGAGAATTGGTGGAGCTCTGCAATGCACAGGAGGAAGGATTGCTTTTGTTATTGGTCAGGGAATCTCCGTGCTGCATTTGGTATCACTGGCTTCCTGCTGTTGTTGGATAATTAATTAACACCAACAGAGTGTTTGAAGCTCTGCTAAAGTGCAAACACAGGATTAGCATCAATATTTCACATTCTGGTCAGGCATGGGGAAGATGGAAGCACTGTCACACCTTGAGGAGACAGTCATGGAACAGAGGAGATGGAGAAAGACCACAAATTTTCCTTGGTGCCCTGAGAAGGATCCAAACATCCCTGAGAGAAGCTGATCAGCTTCCAGAGAAAAATACTTACAAATTGATTTAGAAATTATAATTCAAAGAAATTTGGTCTGAATTAGAAAGCTTTTGAGTTTAATTTGTGGAGTCGTCTTCTTTCCCAGCTATCCAGTAACAACAATCTTTGCAAATTTATTTCTGTGGGACCCAGAACAATTGTCAATAACCTTTTTATAAGTCTCCTCTGCCTTGAAGGCAGTTTTCATCTTCTCACATGTTTTCCCTTCTGGAAAAAGCAAAGAAAATCCTCCAATTGTTTTGAACCACTCATCATTCTCATTGCTTTCCTTCAGCCCCTGTATGATTTGTCTATGACATTCTTCTACCTTCTCCTAGCACAGCATCCAAACCCACACCTGGTGTTTCCTTGTTAGAGTGGAATCATTGCTTCTGATGTTTCCCTCTTGTTCATATGCTTCAGAATAAGATTTGCTGTATTTTACAACAGCTGTGTCCTCTCCAGTGCCTCTTTCACAACTCTTTTTTTATTGAATGCCTGCTTGACCAGCATTTTGCCACTTTGCATTGACATATTTTGTTGCTTTTTACCTTACCAAATCTGGTTGATTTTATATTATTACTCCAATTTCCCAGCCACATTTTGGAACACATCCTCTGGAGTATTTATATAGTCTTTATTTTGTCTTCCAAATCACTAATGAAAATATTAGAATCAGGTCCAGGAGCAAACCCTGAGGGAGCCCTTTTGGAAAACCTTCTAAATCCAAAGGAAAGGAATTAGTAATTCTTATGTGAATACATTTATTTTCTGTCAAGTATGTCTTAAGATGATTTCACAGAGATCATAGTTCCTGGTCAGCTTATGGAAATGTCATGTGAAATGGTGTCAAAAACTCTGCTTCTTTCAAAATACATGACATATGCTCCCTCTTCCTTATTCTACAACGCAGTTGTTGAGTTCAAGGATGGAAACTGGACGGTTTTAACATCACTCCTCCATGACAAATCAAGTCTGACTGACTGTATGTTTTTCTATTGTCAGTCAAATGCTCACAAAGAGATCGCTGCACAGTTTATTGTATTACAGTTTTTGCATTACATGCTGATCTGGCTGCTGTGTAGTTCCCCAAGTCTTGCTTCCCCTTCTTTAAAGACAGACACTGTGTTTGCCCTTCTCACCTCCTCTGGGATCGCCTCCCTTCTCCATGAGCTCTTGCAGATAATTACTCATGAGTCAGATTGCTCTGCCCAGTGCCTGAAGTGCTCTAGAGGGAACTTCATCCAGTCCTGCTGACTTGAATTTGCCTAACTTCTCTGAATGATTTTAGCAGTGTTTATTTGCTAGTTTGGATTGTCTTATCCTCTGCAGTAAAAGTGGTCCTGATAAATACCAGTTCATAATCTTTTTTTAAAATATTTTATTTTTCTCCATAGCAAAAGCATAAAAACTAATGAATGCTCCAGTCTTTTCTCTGTTGTTATTTCTGTTCTCTCATTTTCCATTAATTCAGTTATGTATAATTTCCATTGCCTTCCTCCTATTTCAATATCTTTACAGAGCATCCTTTTATCGCCCTCTGTATCCCTTCCTAATTGAAACTCATTTTGCCCCTGTTTTTTCTCATTTTAATCCTCCACAGTCATACTCTTCTTTTACGGACACAGTCTGTAAAAGACAAGTTCCTAGTCTTTTTTTCCACCTTAGTACAACTTGATGTTATTCCTCCTTTTTCTGCTTCCCTCACTCCTTCCTTTCCTTGGAGCAAGATGTTCCATCGTTTTGTTATGGCTTTCAACTTAATTAACCCCCAGCTTCCTGTCCTCACCAATCTCCTCCCTGTTAGTCAGTCCAATCCCAAAGAGCTCCAATGCCCTTGTCCCACAGGAACTTTGCTCCATCATTTGCACTTGTGTTCCCTCCAAAAACAGTTTCACACCCTCCTGCTGGGCTTGCAAAGCAGTTTTTGTACAGTTCCTTTTTGCAGAGCACCCTTGGCTTGTTTGCCAGATAGAAAACCATTATTCATTTTACTCCATTTTTGCAGATCTAATTAATGATCAGTTTATCTCTTAAATCCTTGCTCACCTCTGCAATATGCCAGTCCTTACCCTGTCTTTTTTCTCCATCCAGAAGGATTGGAAGAGGACATTTCCCATCCCCTCATCTCTTTCCCTCTTCTTCCCAGGGTCTGTATTTAGAGCTACGAGGCTTCATTAAAACCCTTTCTAGGGTAGTAGATGAGGATGATGCTCCTGCAGGCACTACAGAGATCACCTGCCTGCTGAGGCTCCCCTCTCCAGCTCAGTGTGAGACCAAGAAGGCTTTTAGGAAAGGCAATTAAGGGGTCTGAGTGTACCATGCACTGAAGCACCCCTTTACCCTTTCAGATTTATAGTGCCCAGCACACAGATGGCATTTTTTTTTTCCCCACCAAAAATTGTGCTGCTATCTTTTAATAAATCAGACAACAAACCCAGGCCTATGTGAGATGTATTAAATTAAATCCCCAGCTCTCTGGGTCACTGTTCCTCATAAAATGATTACATCTCTAAACAAGGAAGAACACAAACCTGCAAGGTCATAGAGACCTGCAGTTCCATGTAGATCCACCTGCCTCTTCTTTCTCATTAATTGCACACAGCTGACTCTTGCTCAAGGCTTTCCTTAGGCTCTCCAGGCTCATGGGCACTCTCCACCGAGCAGTTCCAAGGACTGAGGTAGCATTTAAGCTCAGTGGATATATCTGCCCACTTCTATTTTGGCAGAGAGCATTAAACAAGCAGTTCTCGATGTCTGAGCAGCCTGTTCCACATCAGAGGGGCTACTGGTGAAGCTGAACATTTCTCCACAGTGGAGGCAGCCCTGGGCCCACAGAGAACACTTGGTGGGACCCAGAAGTGTAGAGGTTATTAAGGTAACAAGGCTTGTTGTTGTCATTAGCCGCCTGTAGGAGATTATTGAAAAGACAACACCAGATTTTGCTTGAAGGTGCAGAGTGATGGGACGAGAGAAAACCAACCCAAGGGGCAGAAAAGGCTGATAAAACTAGATATTAGGAGGGGGAAAAATACAACTAAAGTAGTTAACTACTAGAACAGGAGTCCAGAGAGCTTTTGGGATCTCCATCCTTGCAAAACTTCCCTGGGAAGGGCTCTGGGAAATCTGATGGAAGGATGTGAGAGAGGAGCCTGGAGATTCCTGAAGGTCTTTCCCTCCCCAAATCTCTGTGATGCTGAAATTCTGTATGGGTGGGTCTGGGGCACTCCTGTTGCTGTCCTGCTCGTTCCAGCTGATTGCCAACAAAATTACAAAGCTGCCTGAGCGTGTTGGTTCTGTTCTGCATAAATTTGTAAGGAGAATCCAAAGACTTCGCAGAATCCAAAGACTGTATAATAGGAAAATCACAGGTAATTACAAATTCATTGGTTTAAACCTGATCCCAAACAGCATCAAAGAAAATCTGATACAGGCTGTGATTAGTAATGAATTAAAGGATGCTAACCTGATTGATATGCCTGAACAGTTTTATGGAAAGTCTGTCATGTCGAACAAATGAATGTTTTTTTAATGAGAATGTAAGTTTGGTTAATAAAGATAAGCCTGTTATAAATTACTTAGATTTCTGCAAGTTATTGAACAGTTCCTGAACACAGTCCCAATTAAAGGAAAACAGTACAAAACCTAATCTGGGATACTAAATGGATTAAAAACTATTTCAGCAAGAGATCTTATAATGCAATTTGAAATTCAATTAGACTAGAGATATTGAAGTCTTCCATTTATTTATTTTGGACCCTGGCTTGTTCAGTGTCTTTGGGATTGACCCAGAGGAAATGATAATAATCATCACTGATAAACTTGAAGATGACGTGGAAGTTCCAGGCTCATGGCAGGAGAAAGCCAAGGAACTAAGGTGAATTTAAATACAATGAAGTGCAGTGTCACTGTTGTTAAATGTATGGATTGTGTTGGCAAGAAGAAAGACAACAGCCCAGAGTGTGGGAACAATGAAACAGCCCAAATAATCCACTAAATGGGAACATGCTGAGAAAATTTTGCAGTATCCCAACTTAACTAACAGCAACCAAAGTTGTTTTTTTCTTTTTCTTCCAAGAAAAAGACTTCAGAATGTTTCTGAAGATGAAGAAGAGATTGATTTGCCACCCAGGATGGCATTCAAGGAGCTGTTGCCGAGAGGTACATTCACCACCATGCAGGGATTTATATCTAGACAGGAGGAGGATGTTGCTGCTATCCACCTACTCTGCACCTTGCAGGCTCTTGGGACAGCACGGGCAGGATCCAGGGTGCCAGGCAGCTCCAGAAGGGAGCAAACCTCCACAGCATGCTCCAGGTTTCTCTTCATCCTCCCTCTTCCTCACTCACCAGCACTGGGCACCAACTGGTTTGTTGGTACAAGAGAGGCTGAAGCCTCCTTCAGCTGTCACATCCTGAATCCCTGCCAAGTTTGTGTTGCAAGAACTGATGCCAGTGTTTTTAACCCAGAGTGTATTTGGCCCCTAGTGTTCTCCATGACATAGAATAAACATTAGGGAGGAGATTCAGGCTTCAATGAGAAATGCTTTCCCATGATACGTTTTCATTTTGGCATGCACACTGTTTATGATGAAAGGATCCTAAAATAATTGTATTAGATGAACCGTCTGTTCTTCTTGCTTTGAGGCCAGTACAGCATGACATTTCAGAGATAAAATGTTGTGGAACAGCCTCTGACTTACAGCCCAATGGAACTTTTCCGAAGCCATCTTTCTCTCTCTTTTTATTTGCTTGAGGTTTATAACCTGAAAACATCAAGCTTGCATCACACTGTTGCCAAAAGATTGTCCTGTGCATTAGCTAAATCTTAAATTATCACCAAATTATTTTTTTCTTCAGAAGTCTGATTCACAAGCAGTCAGCTCCCCTGTGGAAAAAACTCCACCTTTCCAATTCAAAGGAATTCTAAGATTCACAAGAAGTACTAGATTTCCAAGAGGGGACTAGCTGTCCTTAGAAGAACTTATTTCTGCCGACAAGTTCAAGTGAGTCTACGGGACCTTAAATCAAAGGAGCCCAGTGCCAGGTCAGTTGCTGAGTAACTGATCCTGATCGTCACATTTTGGCCAGCTGGATGAATGACAGCAACAATTTCTTGGGACTGCATCTGGAGTCTTTTGCATTTTCTTTCCTGCAATTAACTCATGACTGCAACCTTAACGAGGGGAGATTATTTTGAGCTGCAGGTAGGCGGGTTTGTGCCACGTCCTTTGCACAAAGGTATGGAATGATAAAACCTCTGAATCATTATGTGCATTACTGCAATTATTGCAATTACTGAGAAGTGAGGGGAGCCCCTTGCCAAATGCTTTGAGAGCCACAGGTGAAAAGCGCTAGCCGAAAGCCACATCATTCACGCTGGGCCAGATCCTGCCTGGCTCCTTTGGGAAGCACTCTGTAGCTGGAAACCAAAGAGGGAAAGGTTTAGCAGGTCCTTGCTGCTCTTTTATAGAATAGTTTGGATTGGAAGGAACTATAAATATCACCCAGGTCCAGCCCCCTTCCATGGGCAGGGACACCTTCCACCATCCCAGGTTGCTCCAAGCCTCATCCAACCTGACCTTCAACATTTCCAGAGATAGGGCAGCCTCAACCTGTTACAAACTCTGCTTTGTGGGAAAGGTGGGATCCCATCACGCTGTTCTTGATGGATGGACATGGTGCTCTTTGAAGGAATTCAAAGGTGCCTCTCTACTTTCACCAGGCCACTCAACAGCAGCCCTTGGGAACATAAGCTGTCCCAAACATGTTCTGTGGCCTTTGATGCACCTTGGAGGACTCTCCCCTGCATGTCTGCAGCTCTTTGGCTGTAGGCAGTGATCACACAGGACTCAAGCTGAGCCTTTACCAGCACAACTATTTCTGTCGCATTCACTTGGGATAGTTTCTTCATAGCTGAGATTTTTGAAAACTACTGAGGACAGTGATAAATGGAGGATGCTGGAAGTCTCAGCCTAAAACATGACAGCTCCTGGCTCTAGGAGCTTGGGACTGGCACTCCTGCCTGCACCTTAGCAAAGAAACGGGACGAGCCGAGCAAGGCATTTTTGTTGGATCATTTATTTATTGTTCTGTGCAAAGCACAGGGTGTAACTATCACCAGTCATTTTTGGCTATTGAGCTAGCACCAGACATCACTATGTTACTATTAGAGCAAAACATATTAGCTCATCATGAATTTACTTTTAGCCACAGTGACTGCACGGCTTTCCTGTTTTTGCGCAATGCTGCAGGACGTGAGACAGATCCACAGTCACAAATTCCTCCTGGGTGGAGACTTGCTTATTGCAAACTGCCCCCTGGCCATGTGGGCATCGCAGAGGGTTGTCTGTTGGACTGCTTGGAGCTTGGTCTGATCCAACAGTGACATCTACATCAGGATCAGGGCACAGGGACAAGCGTTGCCCACATTTTTAAATTTTTAGTGTGGTCCCTGCTCTAGTTTTGGCCAAGGCTAATGAATGCTCTCCCAGATCATGTTGGGTCACAATTCTGACCTCTTCTGCTGGGTGGTTGGACTACGAGGTCCGTGTTCTGGAGGGTGAAAGAGTTTATCCTGGTGGCCAGGTGCTGCCAGTTGGACTCAGGGCCAGAGAAGACAGACACTATTGCTGATACTCCTCTGCTCTTTCATAGCAGGGTACACCATTACCCAGGTGTACTCCAGGCCTTTGGTTTGTCACATGCTTTTAATGCAACTAACAGATGTATTTCCAATTGCTTAATACTTCATAGCTAATTTTCCCCAAAGTACCTGGAAGTATAATCCTAAAAACCTCTTGCTCTTCAGTTCATCCTATTTTCCCAGCATCACTTTTTCTGCCCTCCTGTGACTTCTCCAGATAAACACCTCAGAGAGAGGTGCTAGGAAATACTCAGTAGGCGAGGTTGTCCCAAAGCAGAGCACTTGGCAGCACAGCCAGCACACACAAACCATGACTGGGACACAGCTCTGGGCCCTTGTCTGCTCTTTCTTGGGGGTTGTTGATGTGGTTTGCATAAGAACATCCAAAAATGTCCTCTAAGGACCAGGAATAGGCATTACAGGTGTATGTTCTGAACAGATCCCTGGATCTCACAATCCACTGTATGGGATGAAGCTTGGCCTGGGATGTTCTAAAAGGGACATTAGCAGTGCCCACAATGAAAAATCAGCTCCTTGGTTCCTGGGCCTTTGTGTGTCCAGAGCTGGGCGACAGAGCTGGGGAAGAGTCTGGAGCCCCAGGAGAGGCTGAGGGAGCAGGGAAAGGGGCTCAGCCTGGAGAAAAGGAGGCTCAGGGGGGACCTTGTGGCTCTGCAGATCTCCTTGACAGGAGGGGAGAGCCGGAGGGAGCTCTGTCATTCCCAGAGACAAGACAAGAGGAAATGGCATCAAGTTGCACCAGGGGAAGTTTAAGTTGAATATTAGGAAAAATGTGTTCGTGGAAAGGGTGGTCAAACATTGGAACAATCTGCTCAGTGAAGTGGTGAAGTCCCAAGGACAGCCAATGTGCACCATCCTGTTCTCTGTGCCAGGGACATCCAAACCCCTGGGAGAGCACCAGGTCCATACCACAAGCCCTGGGGCAAGAGGACCAGGGCTATCACGGGAAGCCCCCTGAGGCAGCACCCATGGGATGCTGTTCACGCTCTCCTGGCTGGCTCTTCCTGTCACTCCCAGGCTGGCTCCTTGCTCTTTAAGCCAATCACAGAATCCCAGAATGGTTTGGGTGGGAAGGGACCTTCAAGATCATCCAGTCCCACCTCCTGCAATGGGAAAGGACACCTTCCACTATCCCAGGGTGCTCCAAACCCCATCCAGCTTGGCCTTGGGCACTTCCATGGGGAAGGAGCTATTCAACCCTGCAGGTCTTTCCTGACCCAGCCTGGAAGTCATGGGGCTGTGCAGCCTCAATGGGGATATTACACACACCTTCTGTTGACACTTCAGTTTTTGTTAATTTTGGGTAAACACGCTCTCTCCAGAAGAATAAGCTGTCTTTTGCATTATGCTGACTTTTTGCTGCTAAAATATAAAAAGCACATGGGCTTCTGCTGACGCAGTTATTCCAGCAAAATGTTTAAGTACGGGTTTAGCCTAATTCTTTGACAATATTCCCAGATTTATTACATGCAATGAGCAAGCACAGAACAAGTATTTCACTGACAACCTCTGGATTGGAAACAGACACAAAGAAATCATTTCTCTTCTCTGCAACATCCTAATTGCCCCTTTTACTCTCTGATGGACTGAAAGATTGCCAGTTTCCTTCCAGATTTCCTTACTCTGTCTCATACATTAAGAAAATCTGATTTTTTTTCTAATGCCCTTTCTTGTTTGCAGTTTGATTCTCCCTTAGTCTTTTCAATATCCAGGTGATACCTGACCTTCCAAGGTTTAAAGTCTACAATTTCAATACATTTTAAGTGATTTTAAGATCACTTTTATTTCCATTTGTATCTGTAGATATTTAATGTGATTTTTGTGCTGTGCTACCAATTTTTTAGTACTATCAAGTTGTACACTTTAATAAATACTAAAATAGCTGAAAGACAGTCCACTTGCAAATGAAAATC